TATAACTCCTCTACTAAAAAAACTCAAATATTTTCTCAGTTATAAGATATATTGTTGTATAAGACGAGTTAGCCTACATACTAAGAAAGCTCTTTACTACTAATAAGATTACCATTATGTCAACAAAAAAACAACAACAACATATTGTCTATTATTTAATAGCAACAAGATAATGTCCCAATGAAATTTAGGACAATATCAAAACTAATAAGTTAAGCTGGACCTATAACAAATTTCATTTGTATTTTTTGTAAGAAATAAAATAGACATTGCTGAATTGAAAACTGATTAAGCTGTCGAAGCAAGGTGGTTCATTAGCCCTAATAAGTGTGATGAAAATCACGATAGCCCAAGGATGCGTTTTATCATATTATTCTTAATTCAGTCTTTACATTTTAAAGGTGCGTTAACATTAATGTTTCATATCTAGCATGTCCAAGAGGAGTTTTGTTGAAGATGTAGTGAAGTAGGATTTTAGACTTTTCAAAAAAAAACAAGTTCATATCGTTAAATATTATTTAATATCATACAGTCAGTGATGAACTAAGCTTGGTTTTATATAGTCCAACTTGTCAAGAAACTGTATTGTCTAACATATGTTATTAAATTTCGCAAACCTTTTTATCCGACCAGTAGCTCTAACGAAATCTCCTGTACACAAAGATACAACATAATTCTTCGTCTGTTGTAAAGATAAAAGAAGTGATTTTTTTATGAACAAAACAATGATAAGTGCTCGAATGAAAAGATGGTATTAACAGGAGCACAACCACTCGAGAGGACAAAAGTAAGGAAATTCGCCCACCCTCACGAACATGTCTAACAGTTCCTCTCAGTTTAATCGGAGATAAAAACCCTCAACATAATAAAGGTTTCAAATCATTTCTCACATTATATCATTAGAGACACCATTTTTCTGAAAAACATCGTAAAATTCTCACATTTGCAAAGTAGCGTGACAATCAGTTGAGAGGCTTATTTATAAGTGATCACTTTCAGTACAATATAATTAAATACAAAGAAAGCATCTACAGTAGATTAGAGAAGAGAAGTTCGTTGCATAGCAAACAATCTCAGAAAGCTGATTCGGAGCTAAATGGATCGCAGTAAAAGGCAGGATATAGTTATTTGAAGATCAAACATTTTATTTTCAAGAAAATCTATCACTGGTGCTGTATAGGTTAGTGAAACTTTCGTGCGAATAGCTGTTAAACAAATTTGGTGCAACCTTAGTGCCAATAGTTGTTAAACACATTTGGGGCAACTTTTCCTGTTTAAATACACAAGAAAACACTTAGATAAAATCAGGTATAGATCTATTAACTTAAACCTCTCATTAAATTTATTTTTGTTATATGATCCATATAATTATCAGGATAAAACTCATTTGCTTTCAGTCCAAAATCTCGTGTAATACTCGGATAAAAAACTACAACATAAAATGGCGCTAAGAGATGACTTAGTTACACTTTTTTAAGCAATTGATTTGCTGCAAAATCTTTATTATATTTGAAAATAATCTACACTTTCTTTCGAAATAAAAGGTTTCAAAACATCTTCCAATCAATTTCTCAGCTGTTCGGTAATTTTATTTTGCCTCTAGCAATAGGGCGGCTTTACATATTCATAAAGTTTGGCAACCAAATATATTCTGATTTACCTGATGATGACAAAACCTTGTCGAAACGTTGTACATTTGCTGTTATGTTAAACTTATATTAAAGTTTTTCTTCATTACCCATTCCAGCCGTCTCCAGCCATTATTATATTCTGATTTTTTCTCCCTAAGAATTATCCGATATTTACTCTTATGCTGTTTTAGTATCACATAAAATTTGCCAACTTATGTTGAGTCAAAATAAGATTTATTTCATTCTCAGTAAAAAACTTCTAAAAGGAAAACCATATATTTTATACTTCTCTTTTATGTAATTTATGTAAGAATCCACATCCGCAACAGATATTTTCTTATCCTGATTACCATATTAAGATAATCCTATTACAACCATTACAATCAAATCTCTGTATTTATCATTTTCTAAATAATACTATAATATCTTCTCAAGGTTTTCTTTCTACATTAAAAATATTATGTTTTATTCCATATAACAATCACACGTTTCATATAATCTTATTTCAAATCAAGTCTAATTCCGAAATGATTCGATCCGGTAGCTTAAAAGTTAACTTTATCTTAGTAAAAGAGTCACCCCATCCTTATTTTGATGGAAAACTCATTCAATCTTACTTTATAATAAATTCATATATATCTTCTTAATTTGAAATTTATTAGGTTTATTACTTAATAATTCCTCATTTCACATGCCCAGTTTCATTCTGATCTAAAATCCTCTTAGTACATTTCAAATCTTCAAATGTCTAACCGGATAAATTACAAGTTGTTTGTTGTTTTTTTCTGCTTCCTGAATCTTCGTATGAAATAATAAAGTTTGGATAAAGGGAAAGGCTTAAAATTTTGTTATATATACAAGTATAACGTAAGTTGTTTCCTGTATACTTTTTATCATATTTAATTCAGATTGTTTAAACAATCTTTTAAGACCACAATTCCAGTTTTATGGCTTTGTTATAATTGAAATCTGAAATTGCAAAGCTCGGTCATGCAGAACATATTCATAGCCACGTATACCTAAAAGACAAAATACAACCATTAAACCATATCTGAACCCAGATAAGATCTTAAAATTAGATGTTCCTGTATAAAATGTTTTAAGGGGATTTTCGTGTAAGATAGGGGATTTCAAAATCCTTTTTCAGTCTGAAAACAGATGCAAACTTCTGCTATTTACCTCGTGTTTTTTAAGTTCAAGTACTCTCAGTTCAGGTATTTATTTGATATATCCAGTGAAAAATCTGTTTAGCATAAGTTAATACTGTGAGCCTATATCAACTCTATAAAAATATGAATTAAAACAAATTCGAAAGGATGTTTTTATGCAAAGCTAAATAAGGACTATCTTCACACCCCTGTCCCTAATTTTGAACTGATAGATCTGGGAAAAGGCAGTTAGTCAACAGCACCAACCATCGCATCCATGGGTTATCCTTATCTTGCAGAATAGTGGAATTTCGTGATCACTGTTATAATGCACTCGAGGTCCCAAAGCGCGGGGCACGTTTTTGCAACAACGGGAAGCGAACCCCGAATCTTCAAATTCACATTCCGAGCATGCAAATCATTGGGGAATACCTAGTCTAAAAGTTGTGAAGATTCACGGTTTTTACCTGGTTGAAATCACATACATTATGGTAATTAAATAGCATGCTATGGAATTTGGAATAAATAAATTGTAGGATTATAACGGATTGGATGAATCTCGGTATTTAGCATGCCAATTGATTGATCGGAAAGTCAAAGGATCGGGGAATAATATGCCCTTGAATACATTTCACACTTTCATCTGTGGGGATGTCATCAGGCAGGAGGTATAGATGGCTCGGATTATTCATCGAAATGGTATTTTAAATATCTCCTCAATAGGCCATCATAGCTTTACAATACTATACAGTGTTTCCTTTTATAACAATATATATGTAATGATTGAGTCACAAGTTCTGGGAATATCTGTAAATATCATAGCAAAAAGTTTGAATTTCTTGTTCTTCTTTCTTCTGCTTCTATTTTATTACATGATAACTCAAAAACCAGAACAGTGGTGTCAACCAATTTCACTGAGGTGGCATAGTTTCAAACGGAGTATCTGATTTTAAAAGTGTTGTTAATAACTAGTAACAACTTTAAAAAAACATAATTTTAGTGCTAGTTTTTTAGCAGAAATGTGGTATTCCTTTAAAAAGCTTAAGTACGGGAAGAAATAGGAATTACCAGCCAATAATAGATAAACAATAAATATTACAGTTGGAACTTCATTGTATTTAGAACTTGTTTATAAACACAACTTTACTATGTTTATTGAAACACTGCATTAAAAAACAAGCAAACAAGTAAAGAAACAGCTTTTCAAAAATTTGAAGTAAGTGTAAGGATGGCTAATATTAATCCTTCAAAAACAACTCAAACAAGAGAGGTGGGATGGCATTTGCATCAATCCTACATAATGGCACAAGCAACAATTAATATTTATCAATATATATATATAACTATTCAATCAGACTCTGCTGTTATGTAGGAGTGATGCAAATGCCATCCCACCTCTCTTGTTTGAGTTGCTTTTGAAGGATTGATATTAGCCATCCCTATATTTACTTCCAATTTTTGAAAAGTGGTTTCCTTACTTGTAATAAATATGATACACAATACCCTTAAATAAAGCCTCGGGTGCTGCTGACTTGTTTCCCTCTATCTGATAGAAGTGGGTATGCCTCTACCTTAGAGGAACTGTGACGCAACTGTTTAGTCTATCTGCCGCATAAAGTGACATTCAGGATGAAAATGTCAATTAAAAAAAAAATTGAGGCGATGTTGCGAGTCCAGCATAGACAACAATATTAATTATTTTTAGTTCCTTTGTTTTATGTTGTAGGCTTAGTTTCCTGAATTCTGTTTACGTTCAGTGTGCGGACACTAAGGGAACTATAGCTAGGCGCAATATTTACGATAATCTTTATTTGTAAGCAATTAGATCTTCACTGTAAAATAATCAGCTGGTATTATTGTAAAGACATTGTTTCGGATCCCTTTAATCTAATGTCGACTAAGCTATTGTAAGAGAGGGACTGAAAGTTTGTGTTTGTTCCCAGAATAATTGAAAATGTTAAGATCCTTTTATTGAGTTTAAACGAACCCAATTATTATATAATTGAAACCAAAGTGATTATGCTGGATCAATTCAGACTTTAAAAGTATTTATTTCTTCAAGACAATGATGAATTTTGATTTTCAAGTACTTATTATTAGAGTTTCGAGAAGTTTTGTCGAGAGCAAATCCTAAACTGTCCATAATTGGACTATAGTAGAATTTGAATGGCTCAAGAAAACTTGAAGTCAATACTTTACCTAAGTTTTCTAATTATTCCAGGTACAAAAGTCTTATCAAAAGATTATCCCTCCTTTGAAAAAAGGAAGCCTGTTTTTATCCAGGCTAGCCCTTAACTTCGTTGTTAAACCAACTCTCAGATGGCACAGTCCCACCCGTATACGTTGTACTTCAATGATTATTCAGGAGTACTCGAGGAGTGTGGAGGAAGTTTTCCTTAAGGGAGTGAAGTCAATTAACCTCTATCCAGGTAAGTCATCTAATCAATGATAATATGCTAATGGGAAAGCACGAAATTCTTAAAACAACTATATACTTTTGATTAATATTGATTTTATTTTATACTTGGGATTCAAAATTAAAGAGAGAAAAATGTATACAATTCACAAATTATAAAGGTTTTCATCGAGTAGCTTTGCTATCCTATTTATATTTATTAAAATCTGTGAAGAACACCATTACAAGCTATATGTATAGAAGAGATTGTTTGTATTGTCGCATATTTTTAAGCTTGTTCGGAGTAATAGAGAACATGCCCAGTTATATTTTTCCCCTCGCCAAAACTGCATTCGTAATTCTCATTGTTAGAGAAATAACTGTTGAACCACGAGCTAAGGCGTTTGTTATGGTCCACTACAAATAACTAGTTTGTAAATAACAGCAAAAGTTGCATTACTTCAACAATGCAGATCATTTTTAGGTTGAACGTTTGATAACGACGATCAAGGAAGACTGAGTTTTGAGAGGAAACTAAAGGAAAGGTAGGTGAGTAAGGAGGCAGATAAACAGAGGGAAAACTAAATTTGACCTTGTTACTCTCCTAGTTACTACATGTATTACACAAAAATAACATAATACTATAAAGTTGCTCTGCTTCCCAACAAATATATTAATGAATTACATTTTCTTTATTTGAGTGATCATATGTTATATTTATACAATCACCAGGTATGTTACTTCTGTGCTACCTTTCAGAGCTTAATTGTTGCTAGAAAGTAGAGAAAAATAACGTTCGCTCAGTGAGTCACCTGATGAAGTCGTTTAAATTGGTTATCAACTGAATGCCACTATTTGGTGTCTTTGGTCTTGCTTCTATATTCATACCTGTCTTCCTTACCTTAACTCTTCAGGTAAACCTTTAAAACCGGAATATTGATTGTGTCAATCGCAGGTAATAAAACCCAATTTTTTAGCGTTACAAGTCATCAGAGTTACCGCTGAGCTACGGAAGGGAGGAGGGGGCATAACTTTACTGTCAGACAAGGCGTTCGATAAGGGAAAGAACAATTAAGACTATATTTAAAATGCTACTTTCAAGCAACGAAACTTGAAAAATTCTACACTGTGTTGACGTATTTTTGGGTCTGTTGTTCTCTATAATTATATTATTAAAACAAAGGAAGCAAGAAATATTTTCTTGGCTTAGGTATGGTCAACGATAAAATACATTTTCTATCTGTTGTTGCTTACGCTTATCGACAGGGCTATGCAGAAGATCTGACTGTATGCTATGTTATGTTATTCTGTATTAGTTTGTATTGAAGGTTCACTGGCTTTTTAATCCTTTTACTAAATTTCCAAACCTTTTTTTATATGTTCTTATTAACGTAGAATAGAGAATTTCTAACTACTAGCTAATATAATTTGGAATTTATTTTATAATGAAAGGCATAAAAGAGAATAAAACATTTCAAAAATCTTAGAATATTAAACAAATTAAAAGCATATATATTTTTTTTTAAATTCCCAACGCTTCTCTTAATAAGGCTCTTTCAAATAAACTATTTAACTTATGCAAACAAGTTTAAAACTGAACCGTGAGACGTAAGATCAGATTTAAAAATAGAAAAAAAAATAGAATGCGAAATAACAATATTTTTGAGCTGTAATCAGTAAGTTACACGCGAAATAATTACAAAAATTACAGCAAAATATTAAAAAACTAATATGAGAAGTATTTGAAATAAAATTGCTTGATAACCTAAACAAAATGTGAATAGTATAATAAAAAATATACAAAGGGACAAACAAATGGACAATATTAATTCAGAAGGAAAAGTAGGTTTATCTTATAACCGTAGTTCCTATTAAATGTGAAATTTAAAAGTCCTAGTAAAAAAGTGCTTCTGTAAATTTTCTGTTCAGAAAATGATTTTTTTTTTTAGGATTTCACAGCTGAATATGAATATTGCAATCAACATTTCTTTCATGCTGAGAAATGAAGAATAATAGACCTTTAGAAAATAAAAAGAATATATTTAAAACCTTTGTTTCCTCAGATGCATTTTTCCAGGGTTCACATTCTAGCGGAGTGCATGTACGCTCAGATGTTTAAACCTCAAGAACTTTGTACAGATTTACTAAGTAGCATCTAGTTTAAACATAAAATATATGTGTATATATCCTTCAAATTTGTTTTGAAAACTTTCTTTTGTCATGAAATTATTACTTTTTTTGTTGTTCATCAGAAAGATTTATTTTATACATCTAGTTAGTTTCAAGTTGATTGGTATTTTTAGCATATTTCTTTTAGCTCATCGGAATATTTTGTCATCACATAACATACTCACTAAACCTAGCCCCCAGTAGCACAGTGGTATGTCTGCGGACTTACAAAACTAGAAACCGGGTTTCGATACCCGTGGTGGGCAGAGCACAGATAGCCCATTGTGTAGCTTCGTGCTTAACTTCAAACAAACATTAAACCTAAATAAGATTGTCTGGTGTCTTGTCATAGAATAAACTTTATTTAGACTTCAAAGAGATATCATATAACATAAAACATTTTCAGGAATGAAAAGAAAGCCTAAAGAAACTAAAAACATTTCTGGATCGTAGTTTTCACCTAATCTTCTGAACTTCCCATTAGGTTATTTAGTTCATTTCTGAGGAGCTCTGTGGAATCACATTCTCACAAAACCAAATATTAATGTTCTCATCGCTTTATTTACTCTACATTGACACAAGAAGTTTATAATCGGCTCTAACTAATGGTATTTTAACTTCCCCTGGAGCTATTTCCAAGTTTGTGCTTTATTAGTGATTGTTCAAACCACATGCTCTGACATAAAAGGATGGGGAAAAGGCTATAACAATAAAATCTAAGAAATGGAAACTCACAAAAACAAGGCAGGCTAATTATTTTCTAGAAGGATGGTGTTTTCTTAGCAAATAAACTGCATGGTTTGGAATGAGCAGAAAAATTCTAAAAAAAAAAAAAATGTGTATTGTTTACAGGCAAGACACAACTTGTTAAAATTTATGTTTGTGTAGTATGCTAAATAAGGATACCAAATAAGAAAATTTCATTTCTAAAATATTTAAAAAAAATAATTGTTTAAATAGCAAAAATTATTGTTTGCATTTAAATTTTGAAATCTGTGATGCACGTGTACACTTGACACTTAAAATGTGCTCACTAATTTACACAAGATTAAATGAGAAGCAAGGTTAATAGCTTGACATTTGCTATTCTATACATTCACTTAGAAAAATATTTAAATAGTGCCTAATATAACTACCATGATGTACTTACATCATAGTCTGTTGCATTTTGATTCGGTAATATTGGTGAACTGACTTACTATACCTCATAACTTGAAAAAGTTGTGCTGTAGGAAGTGCAATCCAGGAAGGCCCTGCAGTTACAGGTGGCACAACAGTGCCAGTAACTATTTTTAAGCATATTCAAAGAGAGATTTGGCTGTCTTCATCCGCACAGTTTCTATTTTATCCTATAGTTATTATCCTTTTATATATTTCCTATGACTACTTCGAACTTGGTGTTTTTTTACTTCATAGGTATCATTTTCTATTTTAATTTTTACTTTGTTAATATATTTTTATACTTGTTTTTCTGTTGTAATCCTCCTTAATTTATATTTATATTTGTAATTATTTTATTAATCTCATCTCGTTCTTCCTTTTCTTTCTCATCTTCTTTTAACTTTATGTCTCTTTCTTTCTTGATCTTTTAATTTTCTGTTGCTTTTTTTTTTCTCGATCATCTTTCCACTATTTCAATATTTCCATCAAATTTTCAATCTTACTTCGAGCACGTGTCGTCAGAATAATCCCTCTTCTTTCTCTTGTATTCTAATGGTTTGTATTGCTGGCTGGATTCTTAAAATTTCACAATTAGCAAAACCGACGTTTATTTTGTTAAAAACAAATTCAATATCTCACATCATTTAACTAAGCGATTAAATGAGTAATTAATGTATTGATTACTCGTTAACTATCTGTAAGCCTCTAGCCTCAATAAGACATTCTACATTAACTCTTTCTTAATATACATCTCAAGATATTTTACAAAATTTGACCATTCTAATCCTTTTAAGTTAAACACATTTAAAGACTGTAGCAAGCACTTGGAACAAGTTCTTTTAAAGGAATTATTGAATGACCATTCTAATCATTTTAAGTTAAACACATTTAAAGACTGTAGCAAGCACTTGGAACAAGTTCTCTTAAAGGAATTATTGAATGACCATTCTAATCATTTTAAATTAAACACATTTAAAGACTGTAACAAGCACTTGGAACAAGTTCTCTTAAGGGAATTATTGAATATTTTCATTTATTTTTTTTATTGAATATATACTTTGTATAATAATATGTAATATAATTAAATGTAAATTCATAAACAATCAAAAATAAACAAATAAAATTGCAGCCACAATACAAATATCCAATACAAGTGATAATGTGCGTCATTATGTAATTGAGCCCAGGTTTTAAGAGGTACTGGCGGAGGTAAGACACAAATTGCGTTGGAGGTACACCGTTCATCCAGTTTAACATTTTCACACTTCTGCATTTTCGGCCCTTCTGAATCAAAGCATGTCTAAAACAAAGTTTTGTTTCAATTTATACTTTCAAAGGTTTTCAGGTAAATGTTCGTCATCGTAAAGCATGGATATAATTTAGTAATTATATCGAAGCAACGAAGGAGAGATTCATAGATATCAATCATAGATAATGACAAACAAGTAGCTTTGGACTGTCGAATTTGTATTTCATAATATACACATTAGATATTGCTTAATTGTCGACTCTCATTGGAGAACTTTGTCTATGTATACACATATATATATATATATATATTATAATTAATTTCTGGCTTAATTAATAATCTAACAGAATTACGAATTGTTAAAATGTTAAATTCTAATATAAATGTTGAAAAAATGTGAAATTATCCTGATAAAAACAATCATGTAAGAAATAAAGCATAGCACGCTTTCGCGGCCCTGCATGGCCAGGTGGTTAGGGCGCTCAACTCGCAATCTAAGTGTCGCTGGTTCGAATCCCCGTCCCACCAAACATGTGGGGACATTATATTATGACGGCCAATCCCAGTATTCGTTGGTAAAAGAGTAGCCCAAGAGTTGGTGATTGGTGGTGATAACTAGCTGCCTTCCCTCTAGTCTTACACTGCTAAATTAGGGACGGCTAGTGCAGATAGCCCTCGTGTAGCTTTGCGCGAAATTCAAAACAAACAAAAACAGCACGCTTTCGTGAAAGAAATATATTATGGTTGAGAACGTAAGTCTCTTGTTTATGATTATAAACCAGATTACAAATATTTATGTTGTGTTTTGTGTTGTTGTTGTTTTTTTCTAGTGATAACGTCAACTAATATGAATCAGAAATTTTTGAAAAACTTCATGTTTTTTGTCATTCTAATAAAAACTATTTATACCCAAACTCTCTTCTCTTTTGTTTGTAGCATATTCAAACAAAACGAAAAATTATTTAATAATTAGATATAATTACTACAATAGTAACGAATTGTCTTCTGCATGTCTTTCATTTTAATCATTCTACAAAACTGAAATACACTGTATAATGCAGGTACTGACGTGGAATTTTTACTTGAAAACAATTATCTAAAACATAAGTTAATTTTTATCGCGATCATAATTTGAATCTTCTGTTTCTTAGCGAAAGGAGAGATACACATATCTGGCTTAAAGTCAACTTACGAGTTTGGTGATAAAATTGACGTCAACTGTTCTTCGTCAACATTTTCTAGTCCTCCTGTCCTGAGGTGGTACGTAAACGGAGAAGAGGTAGGAGATATTTGTATCACCTATAGGTTTGAACACAATATCTAAAAAGAACATTTTTGCTTCTGCTTCATATAAATTGCATAAGGCTGATCGTTCATATAGTTTCATAAATAACAGAACTTGGCACTAAAACGAACTAATGATTATCACACTTTAAAGTATTTATCAACCATAACTTCCCCCTTTAAATTGTATAACGTTACGAACATAATCATAAGTTTCATAGTTGATATGGTTTTACGTTAGTTGTAAGCAGTCAAAATATTCACTGTTCTTTTCTTGAATTTGGTTAAGTGAGATTTTGGTAAATTTAAAACTAATTACTCATTATCAATTTTAAGGATTTTCAAGGCATTTTTTTTTAGAAATGCTTTTGAAGAGAAGAGAAATTTTTCATTTATCAATTTAGTATGAAACATAAATCAGTCACTTGTTCCCGAAACCGTAAGACAAACCATTAGGTAATGAACGCCTTAAGTCTAAGGTGTTAAAAATATGTCAATAAGAGTGTACAACTTTTAAGTTTAATGTATGCTGTCTTATTTTCCTCCTTTTTTGTCTCCCAAAGCAACAGAAAAATTCCAAAATTTTCAACAAATTTAATGTTTCAGTGGAATGATGACACAAAGGTTACTGCTCTTCCCTAAACGACTAGACAATACAACTTTACCTAGAAATCCCTTCCCATCGATCTATAGAAGTTACGAAAAAGTTAGCTGTCTTTTTTCGTTACTTTTATTGCTTTGAGCAGCTCTCGTAGGAGGAATTTTCATGCTTCTTATTTCCAGATCATGTCTGACCAGCTACTTTTCTATCCAATCGCTGATTATGAGGATGGATATAAAACTGCTGTGTTAGGACTACGTTTTACAGTTAAAGAAAGTCATTTTCGCAACGAACAAATGCGGCTAAATTGTACAGCTACGTTCTCTATGATCATTGACAGAAGAGACGTGGAAACTGTAATAGGACTCAGCCAGCAATCTTCGGGACTACAGTTATCCGAAAAAAAGAAGAAAGGTTAGAAATACCAGCACTTTTTAGACTGTAAATCAGTACTTAATAAAAAAAAACTGTATAAGTACTTTATAGCAACATAATAATTACTAGATGCAAAAGGAAGCTCAAGTATTTGACAGATATACACCAAGATGTAAAAAAAGAATTAGAAATTAATAGAAACACAGTAGTAGTTAATAAAGAGCGGAAATGTAATTTACAAATAACACATTCATGGTTATTAACAAAAATACTTTAATAGCTAGCCATTCGGCAGAGCAAACAGCATTAATTAATTAAGCATTACAACAATGGATGAGCGATATAATTGGCCCGGCATGGCCAGGTGGATATGGAGGTCGACTCGCAATCTGCGGGTCGATGGTTCGAATCCCCGTCACACCAAACATGCTCGCCCTTTCAGCCGTGGGGGCGTTATAATGTGACGGTCAATCCCACTATTCGTTGATAAAAGAGTAGCCCAAGAGTTGGCGGTGGGTGGTGATGACTAGCTGCCTTCCCTCTAGACTTGCATTATTAAATTAGGGACGGCTAGCGCAGATAGCCCTCGTGTAGCTTTTCGCAAAATTAAAAAACAAACAAACAGATATATAATTAGTTGACTTTGTTTTAGAGCATAGCCACATTTGGCTACCTGTTGTGTCCACCACGGAAAATCGAACTCGAACCCCGGATTTTAGCAATTTAAGCTCATAAACTTCCCGCTGTTACACCGGGGGGGGGGGACAATTAGTTGAAAGAAAATATATTAGTATGTATTATAAAGAGACGTTAGTAGATGGCAAGAAAACGTTAAATAATTTCTTCAAATGCTTTTGTAAATGCCAGAGAATGAATCGTAAATTAGAAACCTAATAACACAAATATATTAACAGAATACACAAACAGCTGATGAAAAGCAACACAGTGTATTACAGAAAAAGCAGCAGTGTTGGTACAAGTGAAATATTGGCTCACAAATAGCACCACTCATTTGTCAGAAAACATCAGTAGTTCCAAATAATACAGCAGTAATTGACAGAAAAAATACTTTTACATAGAAAATGCATAAATAGTTGACAGAGAATAGCTCCAGCGTTGACAGAGAACACATCAATTGTTAACAGTAGTTGATAGAGAACGCATCAGTTGTTAACAGTAGTTGACAAAGAACACAACAGTAGCTACCGTACAACAAATTGATAGATAACAGAGATCTTATAAGCTCCTTATAGAAAACACAGCAGTAGTTGATATCTGACAATTCACTTGAGCACATCAGTTGTTGAAAGAATACAAAACACCAGCAGATTAACAGGGACTACACCAATAGCTGACAGTTGATATCTGACAATTCACTTGAGCACATCAGTTGTTGAAAGAATACAAAACACCAGCAGATTAAAAAGGACTACACCAATAGCTGACAGTTGATATCTGACATTTCACTTTAGCACATCAGTTGTTGAAAGAATACAAAACACCAGCAGATTAACAGGGACTACACCAATAGCTGACAGATAGCACACGATTAATTGACAGAAACTACAACGCTGAAGTGACAGACTAGAAGAAAGACAGCTAGCCAACAACACCCATCGCCAACTCGTGGGATACTTTTGTTAGAACGAAAAATCAGATATAGCCGCCACTTTTTTAACGCACCTTCAGTCCCAAAATGCAGAGTGCGATTTGCTGTTTCCTTTGGCGGTAACGGGACGCGAGCCACAGTACTTCAACCCCACAGACTTGGTTGCACTCGACCGTGTGACAGAGAATTGCATCATTATTTACGAACAAAACACAAGTAGTAGACTGAAAAACCAACAAAATAAAACAAGAGTACTTAACAGAAACACATGAATAACTGTAAGAAGGTTACTTTGTAGTTAGCATTGGATATCAAAAGTAAATGACGGAGGAAACTTCAGTAGTTCACACAAAAAATAACAAAAAACGTATGTGCAGCTAAAAGAAAATGCATGGTTAGGGTTAGTTAGCAGAAAACGTCCTTTATAGTTGACAAACGATACAAAATTAGTTATTTGAGAGCACGTGAATGATTGCCCACAAATATGTCGGCGACAGATTGAGAATCTTGAAACTGTTTTTAATCTGTTTGGTAAGAAAAACTGTACATGTAAATGAAAAAAAGGCGATAAAGTCTT